AACACATATGATTTAGAGGATGGTATATTATTTTTACTAAAATTGTCATTTTGAGCTAAACTTCAAGAATAGTTAAATTTTAGCTAAATTTTTCGTTAAAATTTTTTAAGCCATATTTCAGTAGCAACAGCGATCTGGCACTAGTATTTCGAATAACTTTGTAGAGTACAACGTTTAATTCAATGAAAAATGTGGGATTTTAAAAAATAAACAAAGAGAGTGATTTTTGCAGATTCGGAATTAGCGATTATGTACAACGATGAGTCGGTGCTGGAACAGCATCATCTCGCCGTAGCATTCAAGCTGCTTCAGGATTCCAATTGTGACTTCATCGTTTCACTCAACAAAAAGCAACGACAGTTATTTCGAAAGCTCGCTATCGAAATGGTCCGTTCATTTTCGGCCTTTTTCTTGCAATTTTGATTAGCAGATTGATTTCTTTTGGCTTACCCTTGGTTCTTTCGCAGTGTTGAACCTGGACCAGTTCTGAAATTGCTGGGGGAAAGTTGAACGAATAAAACCAGTGGATGCAGTTGAGAAGCGAAATCAGCTGGGGTGCACTCTGCTTTGCTGGAGGGTGTATCAGCTGCGTTAAACAGCACGTCTGTGAATTCACACACTAAAATTTGCCAGAATTCTGCGCTTCAAAAAAGGCCAAGGCGTTTTTTAAGGTTATGTAATTATCCATTTTCCAAACTTTGGGTAAAAATTTTGCCGCTTGTGATATACCAAACTCTCAAAATTTTGAGCTTTTCTCAATCTTAAGTTATAAAATTAACATAAATTTGAGCGCAGCGTTATAAGGTACAGAAGAAATTATGATTATTTTTAGATTATGTTTGTTCGTTTATACTTGCTGTTTATATACGGATTTTGTTTGGGAGGGGGAGGGGGAAGGGGTGAGGGTGCAAACTGATATACCAAGCTGTCAAAATTTCGAGTATAGGCCAAAAATTGAAAAATTTTTCCAGTTTATCGAACCAATCTAGCAGCGACTTCTTGATACTACCAAAAAAAGGTGTTTGTCGATGAGCGAGAAGTGTCGTAAAATGCTATGGGGATTTGTAAATGGAACGCTGCCAGCTTTCTAAATATCATCTCAAGTCAAGTTGTTAAGCTAGTTAACACTGCAGGTCCTTGCAACAGATATGTCAAAACATATGAGCATACTGGCCGATCTGAAAACGATGGTTGAAGCAAAGAAAGTGGCCGGTTCATCCGTTCTCACACTGGATAAAACCGATCGAATACAGGTTCCTGTTCTGAAAAATTA